CCGTTACACTTGCATTTTCTAGACTTAAGTGGAGCACACAGGCCCTGTGCTGACTCCCTGCATGGAGAATTTCACTGATGAAGCAGCTAAAGGATTGAGCCCACAGGCTAACTAATCCCCACAACACCCTTGTGACACAGGTACCTATTATAACCTAAATGCTTTTGTTCTCCCTGGATATGTGGTCATTCAAGTACATGCAGTATAAATCCTCTGTCCTTCTGATTAAGAAGCTTTACTTGCAGTACAAAGTGTGCTCAGTTCAATTATCTCAACTGTCCTGCAAGTTGTTTTAAAAAAAAAAAAACTAGTAGAAAATAACTCTAAACAAAAACTGTTGGAATAGTCTCCTACTAGCCAGTGTAAATGCATGAGTGGGCTTAGGCACACCCAAACTCTACTTAACCCTTATTTTGAAGACTTGTGGGACAGCTTAAGAGTGCACAGGTCTTGTGCTGTCTCTCTGCACAGTAGTGAATTTCACCAGCTGGGAATCTGCCTGCTTATGGACTACAGCAGCTGATTCTAAATGACTTTACCACAATGTGTTTTGTGTGTGGTTTTTTTATTACAGTACATTTCTTAACTCCATTTTTAAACTCCATTTCTTAAGCTTTATCAAACATTTGAAGGATGAATCTTTATTCTTTTTCAATCATTAGATAGAGACATGGGGATGAAAATTAGGAGCTTTTAAAGAAGAGTTTATTAGATGGCCAAAAAGGCACAATTCCACAATCAAGCAAGAGGACAAATGTGGCTAAAAGCCCATCCAGGTTCAGTGGTGAAATGAAGGCAGCAAGTGGGGGGAGGAAGCAACATACAACAAATGGGGTGGGGTAGGGGGGAATGAAACCAACAGCAAGCCATTTAAATTAGAAATAATGAAGTATAGAAAATTGATAAGAGAATCTAAAGACATTTGGGGGGGGGGGTGTGAACGCAGGGCTAAGGACAATAAGGAATTTCAGTATGTTTGGAACAAAATATTCTATCACCGTATAGGCCCATTAGTAGATGGAGATGGTAAAACTAGTAATGATGCAGAAAAGACATAGTATTCAACATATTTCTGTTCTGTATTTGGAAAGAAACAAGATGAAAGACTTGTATCACATTATGATGAAGTACCTTCCAGTCCAGTAGTAACCAAGGATGGTGGTAATACTTATTCCTGGTAGATAATTGTTTTTTAAAGCAGCAGCCCTGGATAACGCACATCCAAGAGCTCAAAAGAGCTGGTGTAGGAGGTTGCTGGCATACTGATGTTCATTTTTATTAAATCTTGGAATACTGGGGAAATTCTAGAAGACTGTTTGTTGTGCCAGTATTCATATAGGTCAGGTGAGATGACCCAGATAACCAGAGTTACTAGCTTGATCTCAACATTGGGTAAAATAATGGACTAGCTGTTAGGAGTATAATTATTTAAATCTCTCATTCTTTCATTCTTTCATGTTTAAACATGATTTTATGATTATGATTTTGACTTTTTGGTTAATAACAATAACTGCATTGATTGTAATATAGTTAAACTTTTGTAAGGTCTTTGACTTAGTACCAAACGATGTTCTGATTAAAAACATTGGAACTATACAGTATCAAAGCACACATTAAATGGTATAAGAAGTGGCTAACTGTTTTCAAGTAGTTATTAATGTGGAATCCTCTTCAAATGGGGGTGTTCCTAGTAGGGCTCCAAAGGATCAGTACTAAAGCCAATATTAATCATCACTCATATCAATTACACTACCTGATAGTAAATATAAAATGTATGGATGACGCAAGCTTGGTGAAATAATGACAAGGCAGCCATACAAAGCAATTTGGATCACTTGGTAAGATGGGGCCCATTCAAACAATGAGTTTTAATTCAACCAAATGCAAGGTCATACATCTAGGAATAAGGGGTGCTTGCAATGCCTACAGAAAGGGGAACTACATCCTGGAAGGCAATGATTCTGAAAAAGATCTAGCAGTCATAGTAGACAAATAAATGAACATGAACTCTGTGTGATGCTGTAGCTAAAAGGTCTAATAATGAGATCCTTGTACATATAAACAGGGCAATAGTGAGTTGGAGCAGAGTGGTGAAAATCACCTCTGCATATGGGTCTGGTGATATTGATATTGTAATACTGCATACAACTCCAGTGTCAACATTTTAAACAGGTTGTTTGAAAAAGTGGAGAGGGCTCTTTTCTGCACCACAACTGATTTCAGGGCTGGAGAAAACCGCTTTAGAGTGAGAGTCTTAAAGCTGAATCTACTTCATCAAAAAGATGTCAAGAGGTGACTTGTTTATGGTGTATAAATATCTTCATGGGCAAAATATATTGGGTACTAAACGGCTCCTTAATCTAGATGACACAGGCATAACAAGAATCAGTGTTTGGAAGCTGAAGCCAGACAAATTCAAATTGGAAATTAAGCACAGGTTTTTTAAATAGTGAGGGTGACTAACCTTTAGAACAACCTACCAAGGGAAGTAAGTGGTAGATTCTACATCGTAGTCTTCAGATCAAGACTGGATTCCTTTCTGGAAGATATGCTTTAGTTAAAGGTAAGTTAATAGACTCAATACAGGGGTAACTGGTGAAATTTAATGGCCTCTGATACACAAGAGGTCAGAGTAACTGATCTAACGCTCCCTTCTGGCCATTAGAATGAATCCCTTGCAATTTAAGACAGATTTTGGTTATGAGGGTAGACTGTAAACATCTCAGTTAATGTTTGAAAACTTAGATGGTTTTATTTATTTATTTACTTTTTTAAGTTCACCTGTGTATTTTAGGATCTGATCCTGCAACTGCATTCTCATGGAGGAGAGGAAGGGCTATATCTTCAGGGCAGCCAAGTCACAGGCTTAAGAAAATGCAGCAGGGATGTTACTTATAAGGTTGGGGGAGGGGAGACTGAATAATTTGCCAGGAAATCGTATGTTGCCAAGCAAAGCAGCACCCTTCTTTTGGGGTTTATTATAAGAAACACGTGAGCAAGCTGTGTTTTCTTCAGGCTTCCCTGATAAAATAAAGGCAAAAGCCCTGATTTTGCAACTATTATTCACCAACTGTTTTCATAAAAGTCACTGGAAGCTGAGATAACTCAGCACCTTCCACATGTCAGTTATCACCATGTATTTCCCCTCTTTTAACTGTAGGCACTCTTAACATCAGCATTAATTTTAGTTATTTTTAGAGCTCCTTACTAGAGGCAAAAAAACCCCACTGTATCCATTGCTAAAACACAAGAGGAGTTTATCTCTAGTAGTATGTACTTTACACCATTTAAACAAAATATTTGTCTGTATGTTGTAGTCAAGAAGCAAAAGTAAACTGCATTTTGAAGATTACCCTGAGAAGCCTGTTGTAACAACCCTTAATGTTTTCCTTTTGTGCATCAATTTTCTCAGTGTAAATGAGAGAATTTCCTTTTTATCAGCTGTTCAAAAATGCCTTATCTACAAAACACTCTATAGAACTGAGACAGCCAAGAAGTGTTGTACTTGCATTTTGTTCTATTACTGTAAAATGAGTGTAGTTGACACACACGCATACTGTCCAGTGAGAAGAGATGAAAGAGCCTCTAGAATATCATCTTTTTTATTGCTTTCCTGAGAAACCCCCCATCTTATTCTGATTGTCATATTTATTTTCTGTTCAGTGTTTAAGCCCCCTAAAACATTAGAAATAAAAAAGCATTTAACTTAAATCCAAAACCACTAAATTTACAGCTTTTTTTAAAGCCCTTTTATCTTCCTGATCTCTAGACTTCATTTGTATATACATAACTGTATTCAGAAAAATTTAAAAGTATTCTGTTAGATACTAAGTACAATGTTAAAATACAATTTTAATAACATTTTTGCATACAGTGATTTCTACCCATATTTTGCTCTTCCTAAATTATGCATCATCTGGTCTATCTCTTTAAAACCCTAGACATCATTGTTTTACTTCAATGGTTTTCACAAAATACAAAATGATTTTTTGTTCAAAAAACGCATACTTCTGCAGTGCCTTTCTGACTGATGTGTACTAGTAAAATACATGCAGAAAGCTCCACATCTGAGACTATTACTAGTTTAAAAAACAAATCCCCAAATGTAACTATTGCTGCTTCATATAGTTACCCTGAGTGCATTCATCTGCACGATTAATACACAGTGCTATATGCTATACCTTGTTACTGTTTTTACCCCAACCTGTTATTTTCTTAAATAACCAGCATGAAAGCTATGCTAGAATCTGCTGCCATTTCATTTTATAGCACTTAGTTTACACTACTGCTATAGAAATGATATTGTGCCAAAGTGAAATCAACACTATGTTACAAGGGGCTGAAAATCATGTTCTAAGGGAGAGATAATTTGCTGGAAAGCATATATTAAAAGCAAACAACTGCTAGTTAAACAATCCTACATCTCACTGAATATTTAGGGTGAAATGTAATTTTCCAATGTCCCACTATACCTTCCTCGGAAATGCCACTTTCTCTACCACCCGGTAAGATTTTTCTCTGCTAGAAAGCCATCCTAATACCCTATCCTTGCTTTAGAGTTAATAATTTTCGATATCTGTATTACTATTTTTATAGAGGCAGTGTTGCGCTGGCAAAGAGGGGAGAGATTTTAAATCCTCTATGAACCAGAGCTCCCTCAGGGCTTTGCTATTAATAATTATTAAGGTTACTGAGCCCTTTCACAGCAAAAGTTTTTGAAAGGCACGGAGCACCTGCCACCCCTTCTGCTGGGCTCTCTGGAGAGAGTCACCGGCGGGAGGATGGTTACAGGTTCCTATGAACAATTACACGCATAGCCCCCTTCGTGCTGGAGGTAAGGAAGCGCCACAAGCCAAGGGGGCTGAGTGTTGGGCAGTACTTAACGGGGCATCTAACAGCCCTCTGGGCACCCGCTCCTCCTCGTTCACTGACTGACTAGCCTGCTCCCAGTGCCCTTGCCCCGGCAGCCCGTTTACACCGGCGCTCCGCAGTGTCCTCACCGAAGGCTGCTCCGCCGCAGGCAGGAGAGGAGCCTGCCCCGGAGCTCTCTGCGCCCCAAGCCACCTGCCCGGGCTCCCCCTCCGCACCCGGCTCGCTCCTTGCCCGCGGTCCCACCACCCCTCCCGCTGCCCCCCGGAGCCGGCTCGCTCCCAGGAACGCCTTTGGCTCGGGGGCTGGAGCCCTGAGGGGCGGGGACAGCCCGGCTCCTACCTGGGAACGGTCAGCAGAGAATGGCCGGCCATGGCGAGGAGACGAGCCCCGGACTCTGGCGGTGTCAGGGGAAGAGCGAGGGCGCAGGGCGCTCCGCTGCTGCCGGCGCACTGCTCCAGCCCGGCTACGCGCCGCGCGCCGCCCTCTGCCTCGCTCCTCCCCACGCTCCCTCCCCCAGCCCCGGGAGAAGGGCGCAGGCCGGGGCCGCTGCAGCCCGCTGAGTTTGGACCCCGGCCGGTCCCCTGAATTCCACCCCGACTGCCCCCTAAATTCCGAGCCCTGGTGCCACGGAAACCGGAATCCGGCACCTGCACCCTGCTGATCCTTGGCCCTGCTGCTGCCCCAACTTTCCCGGCAAGGTCAGAGACTCCATGGAGTTGCTCTCACTGCACCAAAAGATTCCGGACCTCTATGGATCCTGACATGCCAGTGCCACAAAAATCCTAGCTCTGGCACATGCATCTTGCCTCCAGCCCCAAGCTGTACAATCTAAGGGCAGGTCTTCACGTGGGGGGGGGGGGGGGTCGATTTAAGATACGCAAATTCAGCTACGTGAATAGTGTTGCTGAATTCGACCTATCGGAGCCGACTTACCCCGCTGTGAGGACAGTGGCAAAATCGAACTCCGCGGCTCCCCGTCGACGGCGCTTACTCCCACCTCCGCTGGTGGAGTAAGAGCGTCGATTCGGGGATCGATTGTCGCGTCCCGACGAGACGCGATAATTCAATCCCCGAGAGATCGATTTCTACCCACCGATTCAGGCGGGTAGTGTAGACCTAGCCTAGGTGAAAACAGGAGTAGCTGTTCCTCCTCCTGTAGATAAAGCTGCCCCCTGATACGTCTCAGGACAGTAGCATTGGAAAAACACCTCTGAAGCTTGCCAATTTTTAACTCCAGTTCCCCCCAAATTCTACTAAATAAACAGTAGCTCCTGGTGTACCAAAATATCCAAACTCTGTTGTAAGCTGGCATTGCAAAAAATGGGTATTTGGTACAAGGATCCTCTGCATCCAGCTAATTTTTCTGAGCACAAACTCAAAAATGGGAAATAGACTTAAAAAGGGAAGTGGAGGTACTGCAGTTTTAGGACATCAATGCATCCCTGTTGGAAACACCATAAAAACACTGATCCTTCTGGATCCTACCACCTTTCAGTCCCCTATCTTCTCAAATAGTGCAATCAAAATAGACAACAGATGCTACTACTCCTACATGACCAAAAGAATCCAGGCTTCAACATGTCCCAGTGCAAGAGCATTTGAGTCTTGGCAGAGTAAACTGGGCCACCGACTCCTGAATTCTACTGTGTAGAGTCCAAATGTGGCTGCTCTTAGTCTGTTATAAAAATCTGAACACTCGTGCATCCTGGCACAGAGCACTATCCAAATACAAGTATAAATCCCTTAGATTGCTTTGAAGATCTCAGTCATTAGATCATAGAATCAGAAATGTAGGGCTGGAAGGGACCAAATAAACCTAGACAATTCCTGAAAGGTTTGTCTACCTGTTCTTAAAAAACTCCAATGACTGGGATTCCACAACCTCCTTTGAAAGCCAATTCCAGTGCTTAACTGTCCTTATTGTTAGAAAGTTTTCCAACTATCTAACCTAAATCTCTCTTGCTGCAGATTAAGCCCATTAGTTCTTGTCCTATCTTCAATGAACATATAGAACAATTGGTCACTGTCCTCTTTCTAACAGCCCTTATATTTGAAGACTATCAGATCCTTCCTTCAGTCTTCTTTTCTCAAGACTAAACCTGCCCAGTTTTTTTAACCTTTCCTCATAGGTTTAGAAAACCTTGCCTTTTATCATTGTTGCTGCTCTCCTCTGGATTATTCCAGTCTGTCCGCCTCTTTCCCAACAATTTGGTGCCCAGAACTGGATACAATACTCCAACTGAGGCCTCACAAGTGCCAAGTTCAGGGCCGGCTCCACATGCTTGGGGCAGCACATTTTCATTCCAGCCCTCCTTTTTTTTTTTTTTTTTTTGTCTTGGGGCGGCAAAAGCCTAGAGCTGGCCCTGGCAGCAGCAGCGCGTCCGTGCAGGGGCGCCCTGGGGCCACTGCAGTTCGCATCGGGGAACAGCGCCTGCACCTTATGGCCAGGCGGGCTCCAAGCGTGGGACACTTGGGCTGGGGGCTGCCCCATGGGACACACAGAGCCACCTGCAGATGCCACAGGGAGCTTGCCCCCAGCGCCGCAGCCAGGGCTGGGTGAAGCGGCTTGAGCCACCCAGGGACTGCGGCAGGGCGGCCAGGAGCAGGAGCAGCAGCAGCAGCGGCGCCATAGAAGGGACCGGGGCCCAGGGCGCTGCTGTGCGCAGCCCACGTCACACTCTCTGGGGCTCCGCTCCCTCTGGGGCTGCCCTGCCCCTGCTCCTCAGCCCTCTGCCGGGCAGTCCCCCGGCTCTGCCCTACCTGGGTCCCGGCTGGTCCTGGAGGCGGGAGCCCCGGCTGGAGGGAACCTGGGCAGAGGCACGGCCTGGGAGCCCCGCTGCTTACCCTGACCCTGCCAGCACCAGACCGGCTGGAGGTGAGGGGGGAGTGGGTGGAGTCAGCACTGGTGGGGGGAAGCCCAGGGCTGGGGCGGCAGGGGGTGCGGGTGGGATGCAGGGGAGAGCCCAGGGCTGGGGCGGCAGGTGGGGTGCAGGGGGGGGAGCTCAGGGCTGGGGCGGGAAGCAGCCAAAATTTTTTTTGCTTGGGGTGGCAAAAACCTAGAGCCGGCCCTGGCCAAGTGGAACAGGACAATTCCTGTGTCTTATATAAAACATTCCTGTTAATGCCTCCCAGAATATTAGTCTTTTTTCAACTGTCTCACATTGTTGAGAGACAAGGTGGGTGAGCTAATATCTTTTAGTGGACCAACCTCTGTTGGTAAGAGAAACAAGCTTTCGAGTTACACAAAGCTCTTCCTCAGGTCTGGGCAGGTCTGACCTGCCCTGACTTCTGTATAGCTCAAAAGCTTATTTCTCCCACCAACAGAAGTTAGTCCAATAAAAGATATTACCAGGATATTGTCTCTCTAATATCCTGGGAACGACACAGCTACAGCAACACTGCATATCACATTGTTGACTTGCATTCAATTTGTGATCCACTGTAATCCCCAAATCCCTTTCAACAGTATTACTGCCAAGCCAGTTATTCCCCATTTTGTAGTTGTGCATTTGTTTTTTTCTTCCTAAGTGCAGTACTTTGCACTTGTCTTTGTTGAATTTCATCTGGTTGATTTCAGACCGATTCTCCAATTGGTCAATGTCATTTTGAATTCTAATCCTGTCTTTCAAAGTGCTAGTAACCACTCTGAGCTTGGTGTCATATGCAACTTTTATAAGCATACTGTCCACTGCATTATCTAAGTCATGAATGAAAATATTGAATAGTACTGAACCCAGGACAGACCCCTGTGGAACATCACCAGACACGTTCTCCCAGTTTGACAGCAAACTATCGATGACTAGTTTTTGAGTACAGTCTTTCAACCAGTTGTGCACTCACCCAATGGTAATATCTAGACCACAGTTCCCTAGTTTGCTTATGAGAATGTCATGTGGGGCTTCATCAAAAGCCTTACTAAAATCAAGATATATCACCTCTACTCTTTCACCTCTATCCACTAAGCTGGTAACCCTATAAAAGAAAGAAATTAAGTTGGTTCGGTATGATTTGTTCTTAACAAATCTGTGCTTGGTATTCCTTAAAACTCTGTTATCCTCTTGGAGCTTACCGATTGTTTAATAATTTGTTCCATTATCTTTCCAGCTATTGAAGTTAGGCTGACTGATCTATAATTCCCCAGGTCCTCTTTATTCCCTTTATTTATCTTTATTTTAATGATAGGTACTATGTTTGCCCATCTCCAGTCTGCTGGGCTCTCACCCATCCTCCATGAGTTCTCAAAGACAATTACTACTGGTTCTTGGATTGCTTCAGGTAGTTCCTTGAGTACACTAGGGTGAATTCCTTTAGGCACTGCTGACTTGAGTACATCTAACTCATCTAAATATTCTTTAACCTGTTCTTTCCCTATTTTGGCCTGCGGCCCTTCCCCCTGTTAATATGCATTGTGTTTGAGAATCAGGTCAAATGTATCGTTTTAGTGAAGGCTGAAGCAAAATAGACATTTAACATCTTAACCTTCTTGATGGCATCTGTTTTTAGCTTTCCTTCCCTGCTAAGCAGAGGACCTACACTTTCCTTTGTCGTTCTCTTGCTCCTAATATATTTATAGACCATCTTTTTATTGTTGTTGTTTATTGTTTATTATATGTTCCTAGCTGGGTGGAACTCATTTTGTGTCTTAGCCTTTCTGATTTTTGTCCCTACATGTCTGTGCTATTCTTTTGGACTCATCCCTAGTAATTTGCCCATGTTTCTACTTTTAGTAGGATTCCTTTTGGATTTTTAGTTAACCGAAGAGCTCCTGATGGAGCCCTATTGGCCACTTACTATTCTTTCTGTCTTTCCGACTCATCAGAATAGTTTCCTGTTGTGCCTTTAGTATTGTCTCTTTGAGAAACTGCCAGCTCTCCTGAACTCCTGTTTCCATTAGATTTTCTTCCCATGGAACCTCATTTACCAGTTCTCTGAGTGTCTTAAAGTCTGCTTTTTTTAAAAGTCCATTCTCATTAATCACTCCTTCCTTTTCTTGGCTGAATAAAATCTATAATTTCATGATCACTTCCACCCAAATTGGCTTCAGCCTTCCTATTCACAACCAATTCCTGAGCCTGTTAGTTAGAATCAAGTCTAAAATAGTTGTCCCCATGGTTACCTCCTCTAATTTCTGAAACAAAAAAGTTGTCCCCGATGTATTCCAAGAACTTATTGGAAATTGGGTTTTGCCATATTATTTTTCCAACAGATGTCTGGGTAGTTAAAGTCCCCTGTTAATACCATCTCTTGTGTTTTTGATATTTCTGTTATTGTTTCTGTGCTTCATGCAGCAATTCCTCCTGATCAGCTAAAAGCTGCACAATGTGATAAT